GTCCTGAGAACTCAGAATTATTTAATTATTTGATGCTGTGATGTTTTCACTCCTCCACCTTCCAGGCCATACATAGCTTGAGGATTTTTATTATTTTTTTTTTCTTTCCTCTGCTGAGTGTTGTGAAACTGAGGAATTCCTAAGAATTCTGTCTCCAGCTTCTAAGACCACATTATTGCTTCTCTTTGTTAACATTCTACCCTTGGCTGGCTGCCCTACAGTGAACGTCCATCTTCAGCAACTCAGCAGCCTCCTGCTTTCCCATACTCCAGCGACACACAGTGAAGGCCTAAGTGAGCTCAAGTCTTACTTAGTCTTTTTCATTCTGCCCCCTGATGCTGAGGGGTTCTAGGGCTACACCTTTTCCAAAAGATTCCTTCCCAGCTAGTCTGATACATTAATATTGAGAATTCACCCATGAAACTAATACTCCCAGTGAGATGTTCCTAACTGAAAATGGCATGCATTCTAATAGAAGACTTAACCCAAAGTCAGTGGTCCTCAACCCAAATGATTTCACTCTTCCCTCTCCCCTTCAGACATTTGGCAATGTCTGGAGACATTTTGGTTGTCACACTGGGGGGCTGAGGGAGTTGCTTCTGGCATCTAATGGGTAGAGACCCGGTTACCTTTAAACATTGTACAATGTGCAGGACAGTCCTCATGCAAAGAATTAGATAATAGGGAACTTTCATTGACAATTTCTGGGCAAAAATATTCTGGGGGAAATGCTCTTTGAGAAACAAACACTGACACATGAATCACCACATCTTTTTCAGATGATCCAGGTAGGTGTGGGAGTTTCTGGAAGGGAAGATGGTATCCTGGAGGGAAAGCAAGAAGCCCAACTACAGGGCCATATTGGGGAGCTTGAAGTGCAAACGCAGTGCCTTGCTGAGTCAGGGCTCCCCAAAATACAGATCGCTGGGGCAGAGAAAATGGGGGAGGCTGGACTTCCCTGGCTGGGGGCGAGTTTGTTCCCATTTTCTGAACTTTTACTGCTATATAGCCCACACAATCAGGATGCACGGGTCTCAGCAAAGGGGCAAGGGATCTTGTATGTTTCTAATCAAGCTGAGAAAATGCCATTTCAGCCAACAGTAAGCATTTACAGGGAAAGAATAATTCAGAGAAGTCAACAGGAGTGGGTTAGCCACTGTGGAGAGACACTGAATTTATAAACACTGCTAAAGCATGCTAGCACCAAGAGAGGGCAAGCACTTAGATGGTACCCACAGGAAAACACAGGGAGAAAATCGAGAATAATTTCTCAATCCTGAATATGTCTCACCCATCAACTCACAAGAACAGTTATTAGTAAGGTAAGTCCATTGCTTTCCCTGAAAATCTTTACCAACTTGAAAGATGCTTCTTAATCAAGTTAAATGTGGTCCTGAGAAAAGACAAGGGAATAGTTCCCATAACCTGCAAGGATTTTTCACTGTAGGGTTTGACAAGACTACCACAAGTTTAAAATAACAGAGCTAATACTGAAAATTCACTTTATTATGTTTTGAATTCACATAAAATGTAGACTTGTAAATAACAATAGTTCTTTGTAACAACCTGCGTGACACTTTTATTAGCTTGTGGAAGTGGGAGGTTTGGTTAAACAGGAATCCATGTGAATACTAGGAAAAATAAGCTAGAGTTGGAACAACTATGATTTAGAAAAATAATGATCATGTTGGGTTTTGCAAACCACCTGTCACCTTGCTGATCCCCAGAAAAATGTAAAGAACATTCTCATGGATGAGTGAAAATTTTTCTCTGCCTAGGTAGGGAGAAGGTCAAAAGAAGCATGCCTAAGCTGTCAGCTCGCACCAGCAGATCGCTTTTCAGAAGTTCAGCACACACCTGACAAGAGCTATTTACCAGCTTTGGAACGGGTGAGGTCTATTTGTTGAGTACAACTCTTGCTCTTAAGATAAGGAAACCCATGTTGAAGTACAGTAAATAGACACAAAAGAGTGGTTCTGGTCCATTGGACATCTCTCTGAGCCTTTGAGAGTGGGCAAGAGGGGAGATGAATGTTTTTCTGCCGAGCCAGACAACACCAGCCCCGGGCCAGCATTTAATAACTAAGAAGTAATAACAAGATCCTGGCCTGAAAATGCCATCAAGCAGAGCACATGCACGGTCATGTTGTCTGCTTTTGAGACAGTCCTGCTTTAGGTTTCCTAGAGTTGATGTGAAGTTCCTTAATAAATTAATATAATCCAGGAATGTCAATGTGAAACTGGATTTTCTGACTTTAAAGCTACTTTCTTTGAAAAGAAATACAATACCTGTTTTTTCCCTAATGTTTGTAATAATTCTAATAAAAAGGTATATAGTTGTGACAATTTAAAAATACCTCTTGAAATTAACAATGGCCACCTCCAATAGAGCTACACAATGGCCTGGGGCCATGAGCCTCATGGGCCTCAGGATGTCTCAGGAAGTAGGTGCTGGGTGGTGGGGACAGGTAGGCAACAACAGGGGGGAGAGTGGGGGTTACCAACAGGAGTGGGAAGAGCCACTGCCTGTGATCACCAAGCTCGGCCAGTCACCTGGCAGAAGCTACCGGGCTCTTTTCCTCTCATGTCCGCTCCCATCATCTGGCCCCACCTGGACTGAATTGCCATTTGATAGATCATTCTTTTCAGATTTTATTTCAATATGGTAACATGAGATAAGGCAGAGCAGATAATGTTCTGGGGTGCCCTATGCCACTCCCACTTCCATCCTGAAGCATTGTTAATCCAGTAACATGCCAGCCCTCATCGCCAAGGGGCACAGAGCCAGAGCCGAGTGCTGTGACACTGGAGGCTTTTGTGCTTCAGCTTAAGCCTTTTGAGGGGATAAACTTAACGCAGGTCATTAACGCTGTCGGACCATGAGGGGGTTGTCCAGGATGCTGTGACTGGAATGCACCTTGACAAAGTATGTTCAGAGAATACAGACAAATATCAGATTGGTTTGTTTCACAAACCAATTTAGTGAAACAAATCTGTTGAAGAAAGCATCTCATATGCTAAGTCTCCAAGTCATGTGCAGATTATATTTTTATTGGAGTGAACTCTGGTGAATTAGTCAAGATCTCTTATTGTGGAAGTGTGTTCAGATATTGCAGAAAATTAATGGGCATTATCTTGGGCCTAGGGAAGTTCAACTTATAATAGGATTTTTATTAGGAGAGAATTTGTAAGGGGATTTAACTGGAATGGATTTTCCCATTATTTTGTTGTCAGTAATTCATGCCATACATTCCCTTAAAACCCTTAGATAATCAACAGTTTAGTTTATTTCAGAATCCTGGAATACTGGTTCTCTATCAAACCCTTAAGAAAATGAGTTTGAAATTATCTTTATCTGTTTTAAAAAATTTGTTTTCCAAATAATAGAAATTTCCTCTCTCAGAAGTAAAAGCAGATAAAAATTTTTTTTTGTTTTTTTTCCTTTTTGTCTTTTTTTGTGACCGGTAACGGGATCGCAACCAGTTGCGCCCGCACCGCGCTCAACCAGTGAGTGGACCGGTCTCTATATGGGATCTGAACCCTCAGTGGGAGCGCAGCAGCGCTCTCAAGCGCCGCACTCTACCGAGTGCACCACCAGGCCGGCCCCGATAAAAATATTTCATTCTCCTGTTATGACCTTCTCAGTGGCAGGACCCACTGCCAGTTGCAATGGTTGCCAATGTCTCCCTTACAGATTAGGACAATTTATGTAGGTTTCTACATGGATATACCTTGTCCCTTTGCTACTTATCAGGAAGGATGCATTTCAGCATTAAAAGAAAGAGCTAAATATCTCAGGAATAATAATAATAATAACCAGGAAACATCCCATTGGGAAGCTCAAATTATTTAGAATCCACTGAGCTAATTCTGAGAGAAACTGGTTTTATTTAATGGATAAAGTACTTAACTTTCTCATATACTCTTAGAGTGTGGCCCTATTTGTGATGGAGCAATGGAGTAATGGCTGTTGTTTGTACAGATCCCTTCACCTCTCTTGGCTCAGTTTTCCCAAACTGAGGGAGAGCTGAGGTATCTTCTAAGATACTTTACAATTATAATATCCATGGATTTATGATTTCACAGATCATCAAGTAGAATGAAGGGCTGATGGCTTTGGGAACCCCATCCACACCACACCTCACGTAACTGAAGACTGAACAGCTGTCCTCTCGCCTGAGCTTCCCCACACGGAGCTTGGAGCAGCTACTATTAGGCTCCACTGGGAGTGAGAGGAAGGGGATGAGGTTGGTCATTTTTAAGAGGGATAGGAGGCAAATATCAATTATGACATAGTACTCTAATAGGTTGTTTTGCACAAGCCTCAGTCTAAATGTCCTACTGCAAAGCAAGAATAGAGAAACTGAAGGCCAAAATATTAAAGAATGAGCAGGCATCTATAATTTGACACCAGATGTGTATAATGAAACACCCTGTTAATGTAACTCTATGAGAAAATCATATTTAGAACAAGAACCAAATTGTACAAGGCAATGAGAAATAGCTTCAAATATTTCACCTTTCTTTCATTTAATATAAAAAACAGGGCAGGCAGCCTGTCTGTTGTCCCTGCATGTCATCTTTTGGATGATAGTGGAAACTAACCACTATTTGCATACTGTTGTTCTCATAATTACATTTGGGTCCCTTAAATATAGTCTCAAAGTTACGATTTGTTTGCAATATAATATAGTAGGGTTACCAACTTTATAAACAAGGCTATGTGTCATTTGCTTTAGGCCACAGTATCACGTCATCTTGTAAGCATCAGATAAACACAATTAAATATGACAGGTCTTTAGAATGTGCTTGAAGGGTGAGGGGTACTAGCTGACGCTCCTCAGCCTACGTGGCTGACCTCTCTTAGGCATCTGCTTATGGTGAAGGCTGCCCCAGGCACGATTTAGCTCTGGAAACCTCTCAATCAGCATTTTAGTTCCCTGGTCTTGCCATCCCCAAAGTTTTCATTCTCAAAGTTGTTTCAGTCACAAAATTTCATCAGTCACATGCATAAGACCAGATAGGAATTTAATGCCCCCGCTTTTTCTTTATCTGTACAGACACATTTTCTAATATTCCACTCACTACATTATTTTCCATCATGTTCACCTAGTAGCTACAGACGATTGTCCATCTTCTAATTTCCTTCAGATACCAAGTGACAAGGAAGTTTCATTTCCTAAAGATTCTTTATATCGAGGGGACAGTAATGCAATCACTTTCTGAGGCTTTTGCTATTGTGAAGATTCAACATGCTACAGCACCAAAAGACACACATTCCCACCTTGTTACATCAGATTTTATTATGGCAATAAATGTCTTAGAAAATATGCATTTTAAACCTGAAGTTTATTGAAAGCCATCCTTCTCCAGGCAATTACCAATTATCCCTGTGGGTGGCAGCTGTGAAAATCACCTGATCAGAAAAAAGCCTTGCTTGGTCTTTTTAAGAAATAAAGTTACTTCAGTGGCATTTGATTTTGCTTTCTTTACTTTACCTGCCCCCCCTTCCCGGAAAGAAGTATGGAATTTCTTAACTGTGAGCATTTGTTGGAAGACACAGAGAAGGCTCCTGTGAGACTCTCTTTTCTCCCCGGCCAACTGTTCTAGAAAGAAGTCTAGGTGGGTGGAGACAGTGGTCTGGGCCCACCACCCTCACCCCAACAGCCTGTCATGCTATTTCCAAAGAGAACTCACCAAACTCACCAGAAAGAGAGGTGACCCCAGAATGCCGGAAGACGGATAGAATAAGGTATGTTTTATGTGCAGAACATGGCCCTCAGTCCTGGGGCCCTCAGGGAGGGAGAAGGAGCTCTGTTGAGACCAAGGCCACATGCCTTAGGAAATATCCCCCCAGGGTGAACTCAAAGGTCCAGTGTCCTTACAGATCCAGTGGAGTCCTTGCGGGAGGAAAGGTGGATGGTGACCTCTGCTGGGGTCATGTAGGGGTTGCCCAGTCGGCGCTCTTGGGGGCCTTGCACGTGTGCACGTCCAGGGCCTCCAGGCAGTCCTGACAGCGCACAGCGCAGCACCAGTGGAACTTACACTCACACTTGGTCATCCGGGTGATGCGGGAGGTGTTGTAGCCTCTCCCACAGCACATGACTTCACAGCTGTCCATGCCTCGGGAAGTCAGGTTGCACACACGGCCTGCTGTACCTAGGGAGCCTGGAAGACAAGCCAGGGAGGTGTCACTGAAAAGGTTTGGGCAGAATACAACATGCCTCAGGAGGAGAAGTCATGAGGTCCATCCTGCAGGACAGGGCCCTTGCTCCATCTCACCACAGCCTGGGCTGCAACACCATTCTGAGCCTCATGCCATATGTGTCATCCCCCTATGCCAGCTGCAGAGAACCAAGGAGTCCAAGTCCAGGAAGAATGGACACAAAGCTCTGGATTTGCCTTGTACAACCTGAATCCAGCTCTTCCACTTCTGAGTTAAATAAACTTTTCAGATTCTCCTTACCCAGCCTTGGATTGGTGTATCATTGGATGGGCAAGGCCACATCAGAATGAAAGAAGGATCTATTCTGGTTTCCCCTCTCCCAAACTCAAACCATGGTAAGGAGGTTAATTCTGTTAGAATTTGTCAGGGTGTGGAACCCTTGGAGAGAATTCTTTCTCCCCAGACCTTATTACACTGCTTATTAGAAAGAGAATAGAGACTCTGGCTGCTGAAGGGGAGGTGTGTGCATCATTTGTGTGAGACCTTGAGGAGGGAGGAAGGCCCTGCCTGGTTTATCACACAACTGTCTCTCTCCCCTGTGCAGTCTAGCAGGCCAGATAAGTCTGTGTGAGGCACCTGGGTGAGGCCAGGATTCTAGGCCTTCAGTGAACAAAACTAGTATCAAAACCTATGAGGAATCAATGGAACATCATCTCAGTTAATCAAGGTGATGTTTGCTAAATGGCAATCCATATTTAGGTATTTGTTTTCTGGAAAAGAATTTCAAAGATAGAACGCCTCTTAATTTGCTCTACTCCCAGGAAGCACTTAGAGTTCTTTTACAAGGACATTATCAGACAACAGAACCAAGTGTAGTGGACATTTCCGGAGAGTTTGCTAAGCTTACCATGACCCCTTCCACTTCCTCCTGTTCTGCAGGGGTAGGCACCCGGCAGCCAGGTTGTACATTACCCTGCTTGCTGGCGACAGGTGATTGGCCCAGGGTGGGCACCTGACTCAGGCTGGGCCAATCAGGAAGATTTCCCTGCAGGCTTGTGATTTTGATAGGGACAGTCAATACCTCCATGCATCGACTCAGCAGCCACCGGCAGTCACGTATCATGACAAGCTCTGAGGACTAGAGAGGCCCACAGAGAGACAAGAATGAAGCAAATGTACAGAGGTGGTGAAGACACGACATGAAAAGAGAATGCCGCCCAGATCCTGGACTATTTTCTGGTTCTGCTCCCATTTCTCCCTGAGGTCCAGCTGCATTCTAACTGTTGAGTTCCCAGACACTCTGTATCCGTATAATAAATTTCCCTTTGAACTTAAACTGTTCCAGTTTCTATTACTTTCAATCAACAATCTCAAATAATTAACAAACCTAGAGAAGCTAAACTCTTTATAAAGACTTCTATCAGGATGAAAGAGATGCTTACTGAATTCATTTTCAGTTTCTCCATCATTTTACGAGGAATGTCTCCCTTTTCAGAACTCCTCCAGTGCCTCGTGACTCTATGTTTATCACAGTCCACTCTGTGTTAGAATTATCTACATAAATGTCATGTTGCCCCGCCTGTCGAAGATGACCAGGGAAGCAGCAAGGTTCAAACAGGGCGTGGGGTCAAGAAGAGGAGAGGGTGGGGCAGAACTTGCTCTGCCTGATCGGCCTCTGGGAGCAGGAAGACAGGCCGGGGGTTGTGAGGACAGGAAGGATGGCAGAGGGCTGGGGTCAGGGTGGAGGGGGCTCAGCCAGGGATGGCCCAACCCTAATGCGTGCTGAAGAAGCAAAGGGTTAGAAGAGGCGGCAGCTGGGCCTGGATTTGGGGCAGCCATCAGGACAGTCCTCGAAATTACTGATTGTGCAAAAAGGACTCACTGCCAAATTCTGCCTCTTAACAGCACACCCATTATTTCATTCAATAAACATTTAGTTAACACAGACATGTGTAAGACTCCATGGTGGCTGCTTGGGAAAATAAAATAGGACCCAGTTCCTATTCTCAGGGCACTCCTAATATAGTGAAGAGATAAATATGTAAAAATATACTTCCACCACTTCAGGATAATTTTTTATTTGCTGACGAACTACTGTAACCCACAGTAGGGTCCTGTGGAAAACACCATGTAGACAAAGCTCAAAGTCAGTCTAGTGAGGTTATGTAGAGCTTGGACGAATCAGGGTTCAAATTCTAGCTTTGCCATGTATCAACTGTATGACGTTGGGTAAGTTACTTAATCTCGTTAAGCTTCAGTTTCCTCCCAAGCAAAATTGGGATAAAAACAGTTCCTTCCTCACAGGGTTTGTGGTGTGGATGGAATGAGATAATGCGTGAAAGTTCCTGGCATAAAAAGTGCTCAATAAATGTTAACTGTCCATTCATTCACTTAGCAAGTGTTTACTCAGTGCCTCCTATGTGCTAGGCACAATTCTGGGAATTTGGGATATATGAACAAACGAAACAAAGATCCTGCCCAGAGGAACTTATGTTGTAGGGGGTGTGAGCCAAGCATATTATAATAATGGTATTTCTTGGTATTAGTAGTAGCAGACAGAATCATAAAAGGAGCCATCAACTGCACAGTTTTACAGAGGAGGTGTCATTAGAGATGGTGTGTAAAGAATGAGTAGATTTGCAGGGAAAGAATGGGTGAAAGGCATCCCAGGCCAGAGGAAACCTCCTAGCAGAAGTTCCAAGGGCAAGTTCACAAAAGACGGTAGGGTCAATGTGGCCCATGCACAGGGTAGGTATTAGGCAAAGAACATAGAAAGGGAGGTTGGAGCAACAGGTTATAGAGGCTTTATGCCTTGCCACAGTTTGGATTTTATTCTATGGTGGGTGGTGGGCCAGTCCAGATTTTCAATCAGGGAGAAAACATGTCAAGATGAAAAGTCTGGAAGAGCAGCTTGGGGCAGAGAGGTGAGTCTTGGGGCTGCTGGAAGAGTCCAGGCAAGAGACAGTGAGTTGAGACAGAAGGAGAAGCAGATGACAGCTCAAGAGGGTCAATCACTAGAACTTGCTAATACACTAATTAAGTGCTGTGGGGGAAGGGTGTCAAGTAGGAAAGGACTGAAAATGTTCATTTGGCTCCACAAGGAGCTACTGGTGCCCTTTGATGAGAGCAGTTTTGGTGGATGATCTGGATGGATGCAGTGGACTGAAGAATGACTGGGAGGGGAGCAAGTGGGGACAGCAAGTGTAGGCAACGTTTCCAAGAAGCTTGGTGAGGAAGTGGACCAAAGAGTCCAGCTAGGAGTGAGAAGGCTGAGGTGAGACTTTAAGGTGGTTGTAGGCCATTCAGTGTTTTGTGGTTTGTACATTTGCATTTTAGATGAGGCTTTCATTTATATAAAGTACAAAAGTGGGAAAACCATCCAATCAGCATAGTAATTTCTCTTGGGGGTAGAGAAGAGGAATGGGAAGGAGGCTTCTGGAATCCTGGGCCTCTGCAAGTTCGTGATCTGGGTACAGGTTCTATGGGTGTGTTCGTTTGAGAAAATTCACCGAGCTGAACACACATTTTGTGGGCACTTATCTGCATGCATTTTATATTTCAGTAACAAATTAAGAAGAAGACGGTGGTGACAGAGGAGGAGGAGGGGGCCATATGTGCCAGGGCCAGGAAATGAGCAAGCTCTGTAAAGTGTGAGGAGCAGAAAGATGTCCCGCATGGCTGGAATACAGTGTTCAGAGGGGAAGCGGCATGAGACGAGGCTGGAGAGGTGAGCAGAAGCAGCATGTGGCTGGCCTTGTGTAATAACAGGTCAAGGGGTTTAGATTTAACCTGAGGGCGATGGAATGCTAGGGAGGGTTTTTATGCAAAAGGGCAACAAAGCTGGATTTGTGTTTCAGAAGAATCACTCTGGGTGCAGGAACTGGAAGGGCTGCAGGGGCCACAGTGTGTGGAGACAAGGTAGAGAACAGTAAAGTACTCTGCATTAAGCTGGTGGGGGTGGGAATGGGAGAGGCTAAGGGACTCAAGAGGAGTTGAAAAGGCTGGACTCGGTGACTGAGTGAACAGATGGGGGAGAGGACGAGAAGAGTCAGGAGGGGCTCTCAGTCTCTGGCTCGGTCACTATGTTGACGCTGGTGATTCCCCGAGGTGGGGAGCACCTGGGGAGGGCAGGCTTTGAGAAAAGATAATGAGTTTAGTTTCAGTACATTGCGCTTGCTGTCACTGTGGGATATCCAGGTAGAAATGTTCACTGAAAATACTCTCTGGGACTCAGGAGCAAGGTTGGGATGGAGATGCAGATTTAGAAATCTTTTGCCCAGAGTATGTCACTGAAGCTATGGATATGAAAGCGAGCCCCAGGGGGTGTGAAAAGTGCTCTCACTTGGCATCCAGAGGTGACTCTGAATTTTTACCTTTTTGAATTTTGTTCATAAGCCCTGCACATCAATAAATTCTTCACTTCCACCTATCTGCATTTATCAAAATATGAATACATTACCATGCATCATAATTCTTTATTCCCCCTGGGGTATAGGGTTTCGGGGGCTGGGATAAGGTGAAGTGTCTTGTGAATCAGGCTGTAGGTCTTGTACTGACATCTAACTTGGTGTTCTTTCCCCAGTGGCTTGAAGCCTAACGAGGTCTGAGCTGGTGGTCTAACTCAGCCTTGTGTAATGGGCATGGTGGTTTTTTTTTTTGTTCCCCAAATATAGAAAACTGAACTGGACTCTAAACAGAAGGATTGCTCACTGAAGTGACCTCCACACCATAGGAACTCAGAGAGGAAGCAATGATCATTGACAAAAGCTCAATTCAGAAGTGGTTTCAGTAAAGGAAATGAAAACTCTGGCAATGAGATGTCTCAGTAGTTCAGTGCTCACTTATAAAATGCTGGAAAACACAATTCACCTGAACATGCCACTCTCTACTGGCTGCCCAAACAGGGCATAATGAGGGCCCAGAAGAAAGAAGATGAGAGAGGGTTTTTTTTTTTTTTTTTCCTTTTTGTCTTTTTTCATGTCCGGCAACGGATCGCAACCCT